ATTTTCTCCAAGCCACGCGATATGTGAGATGAAATACTTGACAGTTATAATTGGTGGGATTACAATGGTAATGTAGACGTGTTTCAGCAGGCGTGTTTCGGACGTAAATAAGAAAATTGAGGCCTATCCACAAACTCGCCAATTCCTCTGCCTAACTCGGAAAATTTTTTACCATCTTGCTCACATTTACACGAAAAAAAGATTTAAAAAAAGAAAATGTTCCAGTGCAATGATGAAGAATTGTTGAGGATTTTAGCAGTAGCAGAAACATTATATAAAACCACAGACATATTTAGAATTCCATGCAATGTAATTTAGCATTTGCAAGGTTTCAGCTTCCATGAGACACAAGAACCAAGAATATCCCCCCTATGGGTCCCTCAGACGACCACTAGAGAGACGAGGATTTAGTTCCCTTGCATCACCACAAAAACATGTAGGGATATAAGGCCACAAACAATCTCATTTTAATATGTTTTTTTTTTCCTTTTCCAATCTAACTGTCCTAGACTTCTGCAACCACAATTAAAAAATACGGGCATGCATCCATCCAATTGCAAAAGACATTCCATTAAAGCTAAGAGAATGCTTGGTAACCATACATAACAAAAGTTTTGTATAAATATAATATATAAAATTTTATATAAATAAATTTATACATATGTATATATATAAGTACACATACTCAAGCTTAATGAGGTTGAATATTTAAAATCTTATGTTAGAAAAATAAGACAAAAGAAAAAAATGATAAAAAAAAAACCTAAAAGCTCTATCAGAATTATTGTCCACACTCCCGAGGCGTAGGTCTTCAGCTCTTTGGAGAATTAATGAAAGAAATAGTCAAAAACATGGGAAGAAATAGAATCCAAATTATGAAATGATGCTTTGGTGTGAAATGATGAAATGATGGTAGGGTAGTGTGGGGATGCATAACCGACCATTTTCTTAGCCGTGTTTATGCACTATTCTAATGCTGACTTAGCCGTTTCTATTCACTTTTCTAATAGGGAAGTTATCTTTATGAGTATGTATGATTCGGTTTCTATTACAATCGAAATTAAACTAGGTTAATAAAAGTTTCAAATTTTAAATTTTAGTAATTATTACTTAAATAAAAAAAGACAAATTTTATTAGTTTTAGTTGTATTTTTTAGAATATCTATTCAGATTACTTTTAATTTTAATAAAAAATTATTTTATATTTTAAATAAATTTTTTAAAATTCTTTAATTATTATTTATTAATTTTTATCACAAAAAATAAAATTTACTTAAATAAATAAATAATTTTGTAAAAAGTGACTAACAAACTTAAAAGAATCTAAAAGTTATTAAAAATGTTAGGCTTTACACAATTTATTTTAACATAAAAAATTATGGAAAAATGAGAAATTTTTTTTTAAATAGTTGACGGGAATTAAATTTAAACCCAAACACTAAAATCTGAAAACAAATCACTAAACCTAAAAAAACCCACTTCAAGCTTTTTACATTTTTTTTTTGAACAAGAGAAAATTTATAAAAAAAGAGGTGTAAAACTTGAGATTTAAATCTAAATTATTATATTCGTCACACCCATTCAAAGGGTAACCATTAGGCCAAGAGTTGGGGAGGCTTTTTTCAAATTTTAATATAGCAGTAAGTATAAATTAATATTTGACTGGATTCTTAAATATAGTTTTATATATTTTTTCGTACAGACTTATTAATTGGATGTTGGAAAATTGACATCAGTTCCCCGTATCACACGAATGGAATATTTCGTTGGTTGAGACGAGGTTGTTGGCCCATCCATTCACTTTCTTCTCCCCTGCGTGTTTCTCTTGCTTTTGATCCTTTTATTTTTAAATGTGTGGCTCGTCCGCACCCGACTCGTTGGTAGAATGA